AGATAGTTGCGGTAGGGTACGAACATTTCGTGCCAATTTATCCGCCTTCACATTCAAATTTCTAGAAATTAACGATAAAGAGAAAAAATCAAACTCCTCCTTGTCGCTCTGAATCGCCTCCAAGTAGGTCGCGAACGCTGGCCACTCGTGTGGGGAAGACACCATCTTCACCAAATCGGAGCAGTCTGTAAGGAAAGCTACTTCTCTTTTATCTTGGCCGATCATACATCTCATCGCCCAGATTAGTGCTTCAACCTCTGTGTGGAGTGAGGTCAAGCTTCTTCGAGTATTTGCAGCTCCCATGTCGTGCGTTTCTTCGTTTGGATACGAACAAAACCATCCTAATCCTGAAAAACAATCACTTTCTTTCCAAGAACCATCTAAGAAACATCGATAACCTGATCGATTATGCCCGATATGTTCCACTCTACAATGAGATTGAGTAATTGTTGCCACCGTTTCTAGGTTGTCATCCGAGATCTCTACCTGAGCCAATTGCCAGGCTTGCTCTAGATATTAATCTCAATAAATGCCTTTTGAAATTGTGTACCGTTATTTTTTTATCGCAATCTTTCGCTTTTTTTTTAACGTATGGATTTATTATTTATTGCAAATTATAAGAACTGTTACATATGTACACGATTGTACAACGAATGACCTGACGACACTTTCTTATCTGCGAAAGGCTATAATTGTACATCGCTGGAGATCTTATCTGGGACTCGAACCCCATACATCTTGGTGTAGAAGCATTAATTAACCCTAGTCAACCAATGGACCAAGGGGGCTTCCACCGCAATCTTTCGCTTAAATATATCTTTTTATTTAAAAGTAAAAAATATTTTTTATGGCTGTTTTTTTTTAGAAAGCTGCAATCCAAATTAATATTTAAACCATTGCAATATTTAGTTTATTTGACAAATTATTGAAACATTTGGTTTATTTTATGAATCGTTATAACAATTTAATTATTTATAATTTTTTCTCGGTGTAATTTTTATAAAATAATATTTTTAATTACTAAAACATATTTAAAATAAAATTGTAATCGTTTAATTGATCGATTGCAAAATTTGATTTATTTGACAAATCATTGTAACTTTTGGTTTTGTTTTATGAACCATTGTATTTGACGAATTATTGCAATTTTGGTATATTTAATGTATACGTGTAACTTTCATAATTTTATTTTTAATATATTTATATGCTTTTGTATAAGACATTTTATTTTTAATAGATAACTTTTTGTTAACTACTTCCAAACATAAAATAAAACAACTCCTAATATACACGCTACCAAAATTGTCCAAAAAAGTCTCTTTTATGTTTAATAAATAATTAATTTAAGTTAATTCGCCAATTAACTATAACTAAATTCTAAAAACTTCCTTCAAAACTAGGGATAGACGTTCCATACAGCATTACTGAATATGGAGTCTAATATGTTTACGTCGACCATCCTTGATTTTGTTCACATAACCCCTTATTGTCTTGACAGTAAGAGCTGGATTATTCTCAACAAAAGATATGAACTCACTCGAGAACGAAATATCTTCCATGTTTGTTGAGATAAACTCAGTGACAGCATCTTTGAGGATCTTGTCCGAGTGAGTTTCTGCAAGCTCAAAGACATAAAATACGTCTGATGATTTCATGGAAGCGATGAGCTGGTTTCTGCAGACTTCTTGGAGGTATGGAATCTCATATTTGTCTGCAGCTACGTAGAGTGTATGGACATGATGCACCAGCTTCGTATCAGGAAGTGAACCGTTGTACATGAACTCAAGAAACGTCTCTAGCTCATCATGTGTCATCTCTGGAACAGTGATTGTCTTGTTCCATGAATCATCTAAATCCAATATGTTCCTAAACACCTTTGATCTTGCCACCTTTGTACAAATTTTAACGGAAATTAGCTAGCAAGGTTTTTATAATATGAAATGCAAAAGAGAGAAAAACAAAATACCAGGATAAGTTTGTGCGCGGGGATAGCATCAGTTTGGTCCCCTGGTTGGAGCCATATATCGACTTTTCGTTGTTCTTTAAAGGTTTTCAAAAGTCCCTCAAAGAAATCAATCCTGTTTTCAGATTCATCATCCACCATACCTTGCGAATAAAAATATCATGTTATAGCATTATGCACTAAATGCATGTCTCTTTTTTGCTCTTCGATTTAGAGAAGGTTCTTGTCAAAAACAAACACAGATCGAAACCATTTTTTTTTTTTTAAAAGGGTTTACCGATTGAAACTAGTTGACACTCATATAAAGCCTAACTAAGATTCTAAGAATGTTATGTGATGGAATATTTGATGACGATACCTCAAGCAAAATGGCCGAACGGACAGTGATGGAACCTTAAATATCGTTTTACGAAATCGACTAGCATTTTTTTTTTTTTTGCTAACAATGTAAAGTATTTATACCATTTTTAAATTGGAGACAGCGATTACAGAGATAACAAAGGAGATTGAAAGACCTAAAACTACGACTAAAGACATGCGGATACAAGAGAAAACACGACAAGGAAAAACACAAGCAAAATTCCAGAATGGGCTCAAAGAAGAAACATCAATTCCGAACCGCGAAGAAAAAACTAGCATGTTTTTCTTGAAGAAACAGTTTCTTATTGCAAATCAACAAATTTAACAAACAAATGCAACTGAGAAGTGTTTCCAAACCGGAGAAGATGCTTTGTTTTTACGAAAACGGCAAAAGGGAAAGCGAACTTTAAAAGAATACTTAAGCTAAATTGATTCTCTTAACTATAATGCACAACCATTTTAGAAAACTAGTTTTATTCCTTTAACAAAAAAAAAAAACTAGTTTTATTCCTAACCTAATTCGATCTCCCAATATAGAATGATTCTGAGTTTGTTTCTTTTTAATTTTATTTTTTTCTAAGAACCCTAAACGATTATGATGATATATAAAAGTAAGAAATAAACTCGAGACGAGAACAACTAGTTTGTTTGGTTTTTTTACCTGGAGAAAAATTTGCGTTTAGTTCGCTGGAAAACGTTACTTGTTCTCGCCGCTTTCTACTTTCTCAGGTGAAGATATCCCAGAAACTTTGATAAGGCTCTCTAGGAGAAGAAAGAATTGGGGATATAACAATAACGAATATATATAGAGGGAATTAGGGTTAAGACTAATCATAACATTACACTAAATAAGAGTATTTGGGCCGTAAAACAGGTACACTCCTTTTTCTTGATATACCTACGCAATGTTCCAGGTATAAATTAATAAAAAAAATCTCCTTATTATTTTAAGGGGAACTAGATTTTATGATTTATTTTTAAAGTTAGTATAAAAATATTTTGTAAATTGTATCTCCTTATAAAATATTTATTTATATTATAGTTTACAATTGTTATTAAGTAACGGTATACCACGAGTCCACGAGATAATTGTTAATAAACTGAAGATTTAACCCGTATTAAAGCGGCTCCGAAATATAATCCGTTCCGTAATTTCTTAACCGTCCCGTGATTTATTTTTATTTTAAAATTAATGATTATTTATTATATATAAAAGTTTACAAATCATATCATTCACTAAGACATTTATATTTTTATAAACAAAAGATTTAATCTGTATTAAAGCGGCATGTTAATGATATTTTAAAATTTTATAAATATTGATTCAAACTCGTCCACCATATAACTTCGTTCCGAAATATTTCCCGTCCTGTAACTTCTTAACCCATCCCGTGATTTGTTTTCTAAAAGTAGTAATTTTTAAAATTTAACGATTATTTATTATATATAAAAGTTTGCAAATTGTACCATTTTCTAAGATATTTATATTTTATAGTTTACAATTGTTATTAAGTAACATTATACTACGAGCCAATTTTTGGTTTTATACAATCTTTTCTAAATAAGACTGATTTAATATGTCTAATATTGGTGGTGTTAAAAAAAAATTAAGGATTTAATCCGTATTGAAGCAGCGGATTAATGATATTTTAATCTTTTTATTATTGTTGATTAAAAAACCCGTCCCGCCAAAAAACTCATTTATTTTATTAGTGTTGATCTTATTTATGATATGATTTTTAATCATTGTCTAAATATTTTAATCGATGTAGAACGTTGAACATACATTTTCGTCAATTGGATAATATATGTCTGTTTTTAAAATTTCGAATCACAGTATATGCAGAAAAAAAAATAGATTTTTTTTACTTTATTTATTATATGATGATTCAAAACAGTTAAAAACAAATCAAACAAAGATGATAGGAGAATCATAATTCTAAATATTAATCAAATCTTCTAAATATCTAAATTATTAAATATGGAATATCCGGTGTATGAGTTGGGTTAAATATAACCTGACCAAACAAACTTTTTATGACCAAAATTTTTAAACGGGTCGGGTATCTAAAGTATCCGAGAATAATTTCAGCCACCCGACTCAAAAGTGACTGCAAAAATACTAGTATAGATATAGCTAAGAAAATAATCTCCATTACTTTCAGTTTATAACTTATTTAATGAGTCCAATTTTTTTGTTAAACCTAATTGAGATATTGGATTTGACCAGTAGAGAAGATTTCACTACTACGGTGGTTCATTTCAACATCATGACGAGCGATGTCACTGAGTCTTTTGATGCGGGTTTGAAAAAGGTACTTGAATTCCTCATCCTTACAAAAATTTGAGTACATACAGAGTACAGTTATGATGTGGTTTGCAAATTTTCCAGTCCAACTTCTAGAAGTTGATATCGCTCAGCGTGCTCCGAATAAAAAATGCAGAGTATTAGGTTAAGACAGTCGCAGGCTGATCTTATCAAGTAGATCTGCACATGGAAATCTTGCAAATGAATGTAACCATGCAATGCAGGGGCTTAGGTCCAGACACATGTTAATGTTGAGTATAGCTCTACTTTTCGGAGGTGCATACCGCGAAAGTTTCTAACCTGTACCAGACATCCCAGCACTCGATATGTTGCATTGGCCGCCATTTGAATACAAGGGAGCAGCATAACTAATGCGTTAAATTTTTATTTGTAGTTGACCAATAAAAAGTTTTCACCGGTTCAAATGAAACAAATACAAGATTTAAATTCAACCAAATTCTGAGTTATCAACATCAAATGCTTCACCAAAAGCAGAGATTTATATTTGTCAACCCATGAATGCAACTGGTTCATGGCTGAACACTGAAACTATGAAAATCCCTTCTTTCCTTTTAGATTGATGACAGAGAGCTCTTGTTCAACATACTCTCCTGCAGGTATCGCAGGATAGTTACTCGCCAGTGTTGATTCCGCGAAATGTCCCAAAGGTTTCAGCTCAGAATCAGAGGCAATGTGGGCAAACAACTGCAAGACATGCAGAAACAAATCTTTAAGATAAGCCAAAAGAGTTATCAAGAGACTGACTAAGACTTACAGTCGAGGAAACTCTCCATAGGCTTCTGTTTTGTTCTTTTGCTAATTTGATTGCATCTTTAGTCTTGCTCGTGACAACCACTTCATGCATTCCAGCAATGCATTCTCCAGCGGTCAACCATTCTATCTGGATACATGAACATCAACATTTTAGCAAATATATTAGAACCTCAGAGAAGTTGTTAGCACAGTTTCTTCGATTACATAATTCGAGATATTTGGCTGTTCATAGATGCTTCGAGTAAACAAAAATGCAGTAACATCTCCGTACCTGCTTTCCAGTTTGAATCAAGAGACAGCCTACAGGAACTTTAACCGCAACCTTCTCCCCATTCCTTAACCAAATATATAGACCAGGGAATCTACTTCTTCCATGAATCGTTAGAAAATTGAGGTCATAGTGATATCCTGCAAATATCGTCCCCTCCTCGTTGTAACAGTTAAGATCACTTCCCGTTGGAGCAAGAAGATGAGGACCCTAAGATTCACAAGAACGACACTCTTGAAGTGAAAGAAATCACAATCCATGCAATGACTCCGGTTTCCACTTAACCATTCATCCAAAACTTAAGCTAAATGCAGGACTGTTCTGAACAACATTAGAACAGCTAAGAACTTACCTGCTTCATGAGTGATGTAAATGCATCCTTAGGCAAACCAAAACCGATTGCTGCCATTTCAGCAACAACCTAAACAATTTAAAAACAAAAATCGTCATCAACTCATCATAGTTATAACTAAAAAAAAAAGCATTAGACGCCAACTCCATAGCAAAGACTCACCTCAACCGCGGATATCATCTTGTAACCCCATGAGTCCATTACTTCTTTCCACTCTGGAAAACCTTCCGGTATAACAGGCTCAGAATTAAGCTCCTAAAACCATGTCACTCATAAATTAACTACAAAGAAACATATCAAATACCAAATCTACTGAATGTATCCGAAGATCAAACCTTAAACCGTGTGTTTGATGGCCGAGGACCAACTCTCCACATATATCTCCACTTATGATCTGGTCCTTTAGGAATATGTGGTTTGTATTCATCAGGCATTGTCTTGAACTTTTCTTGCATCTCTTCATCAACCAAACTTCTCGGAACTTCCACTCCCTCCGGCGTCGCACCAACCTATTAAAAATCCACACTATACTCATTTAAAATCCACATAGCAATAAAAATTGGTGTAGTCTTGACAAGATTGGAATTTCTCAAACAACACATCCACATCAAGCAGTAGTAATTTACAAAAACACTAAGATTTGTGCCCTAATCATGCCCTAATTTGACTTAATTCAGATTCTATTAACTAAAAATTACTCTAAATGTAACGAATTCGAAAACAAAACACGAAATTCGATTAAATTGAATCATAAATCGACAAAGGGCAAAATTGATTATGAAAGGTTAAAACGAAGAATCGATTTTGAAGATAGAGATCGCAAGAGAATCTTGAGAAACCTGATAGTGAAGATTAGGTCTTTGTTGCAATCGTTTGAAATCATCGGGCTTTTGGAAATAAGTCTCCATCATATCGATGAATCGATCGTTGTCTTGAGCGGTACATCGAGGATCTTTGACAAGAAGAGCTCCGGTTTCTTTTAGGATCCGACTCACTTCTCGGCACGATTCGAGAAGATTGGATCCTAATTGATCACCGGAAGATTCGAGGTAACGAGACAGATCTACGACGGGTAATTCCATTACCGACAAAAGAGAGGAAGAGACAAAAGTAGTAGTCACCAGTGTTGTTGTTGTGTGTTGTTGTTGTTGTAGTGCGTATGGCGGGAGATTGAGATGGAGTGGATTTGATGCATGTAGATGCCTCTCCATTATTCATTGTATCTTTTAAGAGAAAATTGGTGAAGAAAAATTTTTGTTACTTTTAGAAAGTAATATTGAAATCGTTCTATTATTTGTTTTTAACTCAACACATAAATCAATTAAACAATTTACTCAACCATGAAACAAAATCCAAATTGATTTTTTCCCATTCGATATAGTAAGATTTCCTCATCTACTTTTTTCAAGAAAAAAACGAAAAAGATTTTCTTCCGCTATATTGAAATGAAATTGTTCTATTATTATTATTACTAGATGAATACCCACGCTACGCGTGGGTTTGTTTTGAAAATTGTGAAGAAAAAATTTATTGATTGTTCTTGCTAATTTATGTTTATTTTTTTATTTGTTATTATGTAATTAATAAAACTACATCTATCTTATGTAGTTACAATTTTTTAGATTAGATCTATTTTTTGACTTGAAATATAACCCGGGAAAAAGATTTACTTGTCAGCTGAGACCTCTTGCTTGTTCGCGTAATATTCTTCATCGTCCTCATGGCTCTGCTAGTTGGTCAGAAGGTACTTTATAAGCTTTCTCAATATCTATTATGGGTACAAAGTTTTTTTTATCCTTTTTGAATAGGATTCATTGAACTCTCTCGTTTATATTTTCAGGGGATACAAAAGTTCTAGCTGCAGAATACGGACCTAAAGCAGGAACGAAGAAGAACGAAAATGCTGAGAAGGCTTGTTTTGAAATCATATGGAAGCCTTAAACCGGATAGATTGGTAATCGTAAATGCATTTAGTTGTTCATAAGGAGGCTTATTTTGTTGCTTGAGTATGTCGTACAGGTGATTCTTGGTTTTTAGATCTAAATTACTTTTGTTTTGAATATTGATAGGAAAAGTTAAAAGGGAGTATAAAACGATACTGAAAAGGACGCTACAGAGTATTTGTGTTTTGACAGTTGTTCCAAATACCACCACCTCAGTGATAATTCAGGTGAGTAGCTATTCAATGTTGTGTATATCGATATTGTTAACTTGAGTTGTATCTGATGTTTTCATTTTGTAATTCCCGTGTAGGTTGTACATGATGATGGTTCTGTATTGTTTTTATGTTCCTTGCACCTTGGTAAACATTTACTGATGTTGTCTGAAATACATATAATCCGGTATAAACAATGTCTGCTTGAGTATTTATAGAGTTTATAGTAGTGAAAGTTTGTAATCCCATAAGCTGAGAGTGTGAATATGTTTTTGTGTAACTTCTACCGTGGCCTCCATTCTGGCAGTTAGAAGGTAGAAAACGTTAGTTCTAAAGAAATATGATGTAAAGAAAGAGAGACTATGAATGATGGAATTTACGAAGTCGAGAAATTTGCCTTGAGTCTTGTGGGGAATTAGAATATTTGTTGGGTTTAGAAGAATGAAGTCATCACTGAAATGGGCTCGACCCATTAATATTGTACTCTAATAGATTCTAAAACACATATGACCCATCCGTCATGGGCTATTTTGTTTATTCCATTTGACACTTAAAATTAGAAGCTGATGTGTATTAATGAAATGTTTTGATTGGATGAAAAAAAAGCTGATGTGTCATCTCCATAAGAGCCAAAAATGCTAACGTGGCGGAAGAATGGAGAGAGATATCCTCCTTTCATATATATGATTCTTTTTAAAAAAAAAAAAACTTATCAAATAGATTTGATTTTGCATCCTCTTTTTTTGCCGTTAAAAAGATTTTTATTAAATTAACATTACAAAAGCCGGCGAGAGTGGCCTTGATTGTTTGCAGATTCTGAAATGGTTTTTGCAAAAAAACAATATATTACCCATTGAAGATAATATTAAAAATACCTAAAAAATAGGAATCTAGATTTTAAGAGATTTTTGCCAATTTCTTCTCAGCATCCAAAAACCTATTTTTATGAGTTTTTAGAGTGTGTTATAGAGCGTAAATTCAATTTTGTTTTTTGTTTTCTATTTATTTACTTTTTCTTTTATGCAAAATACAAAAATTAAAATCTATAATCTAAAAACCACTTTGGAACCCCCAAATATTTATGGTCAAAATCTCGAGAAACTAAACTGGTGGGACTAAAATCCCTGGAATCTAATCCGGCATTTTTACTCAATCGAGCAGAATAATTTTATTTAAGAAAAGAAAACAAAATAGTGACGATGAATATTTTGGCTGATAAGCCAAGAAGGAAGGAATCAACAAACAACAAGCATGATAATCAATATCTAGTGTTCCTTGTTTTAGCTTAAGGTAGCAGATCCACTACGGTATTACAAAGACCAGACGTGTTCAACTCTTAAATTTCCTAGAAAGTGTTGTTCACACAAAATAATGTGGCCATGTTCATTTGCTTGTCACTAGCGACTGCATCCCGTGACTACGACTAAATGTTGTTTGTCGCAACAATGTTTAAATTTTAAGTAACTACTCCCATTGACCGCGCACACGAGATATATATTAGTTTTGGCGTAAACCAATTTTTTTTACATGTGTAATCCAAAATATGAAACACTAAAAAGCTTTCTAGTTTCACAATTTTTATCTGTTCATTACGAAATATGTCGCCAAAACGTATTAGCCCATCACTGACATCAGCTAAAAGCCTAAAACAAACGGAATAGAGCCACTATAACCGTACCAAAGGAAGATATGAACCGCTATTGTTATACAGTCTCTTTCTTGTCGTTGGAATCACAACTGAGCAACACTTAGAAAAGAGGTAAGCTAAAAAATGTTTGTCAAAAGCATCTGCAAATTAGACATTGAAATTGAGAAGCGCAAAAAGGGATCGACCATAGTAAAAAAAATGAACCGTATCATAAGTTCTATAACTTTGAGAAGGCAACAACAGCACCGGCTTTTCCTTCTTTTTATCTTCTAGCATTGTAGAATTAGTTAAAAGTAAAACCCAGACAATACTCTCACTAATCCTACGCAATATAATCTCAATCATTGTCTGATTGATATATATATCCATTGATACAGCCACAACAATAGCTTTTTATAGCAGCATTTGTAGTTTTCACTGGGAAGATCCAGATGCTGTGCGCTGCTCGTATTCACCTTGTTCTGCTTTACTAAATTCCTCAAGCAGTTCACGCTGTCTCTGCGTTATATTTCTGCCAAAGAGCATAAACAAGTATAAGAAGATATTCCGATGTGGCGCCTGACTATTATATTATTTACATGAGGTTTTATGAGACTTACGCAGGGATGCTGACGTTGAAATGCACATATTGATCCCCAAATCTAGTCGACTTTCTTGCTCTAATACCTGTTTGTATCATAAACAAAAGCACGTCATGTTTTGTTGTCTTGCTCTTTTATCCAGTGAGACAGTAATTAGCCCAATTCAACACGATCATACTCAAAAGTTTCTTTCATTTTTCAGGTGTTCTACGACTGAACTTATTGACATAAACAAATGAGCTCACCTTTATTCCTTAGCACTACTTTGTGACCAGGTTGGGTTCCAGGACGGACCTGTAACAAAAGAGTTTCCAAGTTAGATTACTGGACAAGTTCCAAAGATCAGCCCTAACTACACCAAGTGGGAAAAAACTAACCGACACTTTAATTATCAGTTAGCTAGCAAGCAAAAATCTGATTGTCTTTTTCATCAAAGAATGTAAGCATGTATGCTTCATTGGCTGGCGAATGTTATTTATTATTGTAGAAATTGTTCGTTAAGCCGGCAAGCACGCTGGCCATTGACATAACTAGAGTTTTAATCGTAAAGCATGTAAAAGAAAATGAGAAAAGTTTTCAGAAACCTTCACGACAACATCGCCGGTGAGTGTTGGAACTTGAATGGTTCCTCCAAGAATGGCCTGCAAAATAAGATGAAAAATATGCTCAGTTATCATGAACAATACAATAATGGTATTAGAACTCACGGATACTGCACCAGAAGTCCAAAATAGATGCTGAAGGCAAAAACACATATGAACTTTTAGAGACAGGATTGACAAGACAAATGTCATTTCACCTGGGTAACACTGAGAACCGCATCCACATGAATATCTGATCCTTCTCTGCGGAACACAGGATCTTCACGAACCTAAAAAGGAATACAGACAAGTTGTTGAGAATGCAATTAAATGATTTTAACTATGACTGTCCATTAGAAAGTTGACTTAGTAAAGTCACCTTGAGAGTAACATAAAGATCTCCAGGCTGGTCACCTTCAGGATCAGCCCCACCCACCCTTGCCACCTTTAATATATCACTATTGTCAACCCCTGAGAGATGAAACAAATGTGAGATCTCAAAAGTGATGAAAACAACATCAAAAACTGATTACCTATAGATATGCAAAAAGAAATTTACCTGGATCGATATTGACTTTCACTGACTTTTGTCCCCGAACAACTCTAGCCCCTCTACAGGATTTGCAAATACTCTAGTAATATCAACACAAGAAAATTGATGAGAAATATACTAGTTATAGAAACATAAAAGACCAAACGTTTGGGATAAATTTGACACAACTGGTGTCTGTCTTTGCGTAGATGTAGACACACATACACAGATAAACACTATGCAAGATATAAAAAGTGAAATTATCAAATATATGACATACTGAGAACGTTTGACCAGCTCCACCACACTTCTGGCAAGTCGTTTGGATGCTTAACATACCCCTTCTCATTGATGTCTGAAAAACGTAACTGGAGCACTTTAAAACCACAATAAAAACGGAATTTATAATTACGGTGTTCAAACTAGAGTTTTGTCACAGGAGACTGACCATCCCAGAGCCATTACAGGCTTTGCATTTCTCTCGTTTGGTACCAGGAGGAACACCCTGTCCACCTGAATGTGAAAGGAAGAAAGAAAACAACAATAACTTGAGACTGAGATAATAACAACATATAAAGCACTTTCATCATAGAAATATATACATACCACAAGTATTACAAGCCACCTCGGTTTGAAAAGTCACAGTTTTGGAGCATCCTTGAACAGCTTCCATGAAAGAAAGATCAAGCATAACCTTACAACAGTAAAGAAGGAAAAAAAAAAAAGAGAAACCTATTAATCTTAGAGCACCAAAATGATCTCTAGGAAAATAAGCAGATCGCAATACCTTGACATCTTGACCTCCAATATCTTGCCGGTACATGTTAAAAATCTGATTTCCAAAAGAATTAGCGTGTGAACCATGGATTTTGATTAGTAAGCCACTTCCATTAAAAGGAAATATGACATGGCTATCAAATTAGTAAACAACATTCTTTTGAGTTGAAGATATTAGATGAAAACCAAGAAAGAAAAGTATTACATCGCTATTGAAGCTCCCAAAGATATCAAATGGGTTAAACCCACCACCACCACCACCGAAGCCTTGATCATTTGGAAACCCACCACTAGCATTTTGCTCAAATGCTTCATGTCCGACCTGCAGACATAACAACAAACTTACATCACATCTGATATACTTAATCGATGGAGCCATGCCACCATGCTATAACGGAATCCAAGGAAATATTATGGGGCTATTTACCTGGTCATAAAGGTCACGCTTCTCCTTATCTTTCAAAATCTGATCCAAAAAAATCCCAAACCACAATTCCCTTCAGTATAAGATTCCAACAGATCAAACCAAATCATTTCATCTAAAAAGTCAAAACTCACTTCATATGCTTTTGAGACCTCCTGGAACTTCTTCTCAGCTTCTGGGTCATCTTTATTCATATCAGGATGGAGTTTCTTAGCAAGCTGTACAAAAGAAACAAAAAAATAGCATCGATCAATGAGAAACCAGAAGCTCTATCAAATGAACATATTCGATCACAACCAAATCGTCCATACCCCATAATAAGCCTTCTTGATTTCACCTTCTGGTGCATTCTTACTCACTCCAAGAATACTATAGTAGTCCTTAGCAGACATAAACGACGAACCTAGTATTCAAAAACATCAAAAAACTCATTCAATTATAAAATCAATCGAACAACTTTGAGAATTAATAAAACCTCTGATCCTACCTGTTCCATGAAATGACCTAGTTGAACCAAAATTAGTATTAAAACCTCCAAAGTTGATCCATTTCCGATCATGTCCTACATTACAAGATCACAATGTTAAAACCCTCAATTAAACTCAATCATCCACACACAAACAATTCATAAAAAATACATTTTCTTATAAACCCAATTACCAGATTTTGAAGCGTAATCTCCAAGAACCTTGGCATGATTGCCAACACCTGTATTCAATCTCCTATAACTCCCAATACATACTCCTCTCAGTTTCTGCAAATTAGGAAAAAGTTAACCAATTTGAAATCAATTGAGAGAGATATAGAGAAACAAAGAAGAAGAGAATGAACCTGATTGCCCAAATCTTGAAGAAGCGATGAAGAGAGACATCGACGAGTCAACAAGCGAAGAACCTTTGCGCCATTGGAAGGGACCATTTTTACTCGAGGCTTTTTCAAGCTTCGATCTTTAAGCTTCTACTCAAATTCAATGGAGATTTAGTAACTGGGTTTAAGTCTCCAGAGATTGAGAAAGAGCAGCCAAAGTTAAAACCCTAGCAAAAACCCTGTTTTGTTGTTGCTTCAGAACTGTGTAGAAGAAGCAATTTCTGTTGTTCGCCACACAATACCGGGTTTGACCTTTTCTTACTCAACCCACCCAACATATCCGACCCAAATCAACCCGACCCGGCCCATGCACTAATAACCCTTAAATGGGCTCGACGGCCCATTAAAAACAAAACAGAAATATTGTTGTCATCGTCTCTGACTCTCTGTAATTCGCCGTCGTTGCGCACGATTGATCGGGAAATTGTAATCAACAGTCACTTTCTTTATAACTCGCCCAATTGACCCGACCCATTATTACTAAAATCAATCAAAACTATAGTTACCGTCGTCTCTGTAACTTCGCCGTCGTTGAGGAGCACGATTGTGTTAGTCTGACCAAGAAATGACCAGAAAATTGTAATCAACAGTCACCTTCGTGATTTCAGGTGATTTTTATGATTTAGATCGAAAATTTTCTTCTCAATAATCTAATTTCAAATTTTTGTCGTTTATTTCCATAAAACCTCACAAATTTCTTCAATTTTAACATAAAAGATGAAAACTTTAAGCAATTTAGCTGTAAATTTCGAAACTTTAAGCTAAGCTATTGTACGCAGGTTATTGATTAGGGTTTCGCTACAATGCGGTGGTTGCTACAGGGAAGGGTTAGTTTGTCTACTAGTTTGTGTAAATGCAGAGAAAAGTTTGGTTTTTTATATCAGCAGAGATGTGGTTTAGTTAACGTTAAGTTGAAATGGGTTAAAGATAAAGAACTTGATGCTGTTGTGGTTCGTGAAAAGCATCTTAAAGCAGTTTGTAATCTCGTTTCGGTTATTTCGGCTTCTCCTGATTTGAAACTACCCATCTTTAAGCTTTTGCCTCACCGCGGTCAGCTCGGTTTGCCTCAAGATCTTAAGCTTTCTGCTTTTATTAGGAGGTATCCCAACATTTTTGTGGAGCATTGTTATTGGGATAGTGCTGGTACTAGTGTTCCTTGCTTTGGTTTAACGCGTGAGGCGATTGATCTTTATTGTGAAGAAGCTGATGTTTTACGGGTGAATGAAAGGGATGTTATTGTGAGGTTGTGTAAACTTCTTATGCTTACGTGTGAAAGAACACTTTCGCTACATTCCATTGATCATCTTAGATGGGATTTGGGTTTGCCGTATGATTATCGAGATTCTTTGATTCCTAAGCACCCGGATTTGTTCTGTTTGGTGAAGTTGTCTAGTGATCTTGATGGTTTGAAATTGATACATTGGGATGATCGCCTTGCTGTTTCTAAACTGCAACTGAGAGAGGATGTTGGAAATAATGATCATATAGCCTTTCCGGTTAAATTTACGAGGGGGTTTGGACTGAAGAGGAAGAGCATGGAGTGGCTCCAAGAATGGCAGAGACTTCCTTATACTTCACCTTATGTCGATGCATCTCATTTAGATCCAAGAACTGATTTGTCAGAGAAGAGAAATGTTGGAGTGTTTCACGAACTTCTTCATCTAACAATTGGGAAAAAGACAGAGAGGAAAAATGTTAGCAATCTTCGTAAACCGTTTGCACTTCCGCAGAAGTTCACCAAAGTATTTGAGCGTCACCCGGGTATTTTCTACATTTCTATGAAATGTGATACGCAGACAGTGATCCTTAGAGAAGCATATGATAGGCGGCATCTCCTTGAAAAGCACCCTCTCGTTGAGATCAGGGAAAAATTCGCAAACATGATGAATGAAGGGTTTCTAGATAGAAGTCGAGGACTGTATCAGAAATCTGTTGAGGCTGATTTGGGGAAGAACAATATCAAGACAATTTATCCGGTTTGGTCAGAAGAAGAAGAAGAAGAGTCAGACAATAATCTGAAATCTCGATACGACTTTAATTGTCATCTAGTTAAAGAAACATAAAACGGCTGTTTTAGTAGTGAGTCCGGGTACAAGTTTTGTTACAATGGAACCAAATCAAGACGTCGCAGAAGGTGTGAGAGTTAAAGATCGCATTCTGCATCTAAGCCTGAGCTTTCGGCAGTGAATGGGGTTCTCCATCTAAATTAAGTCAACTGAATATGATACTTCATCTTTCCCACAATCTTCCAAGCTGCGATGTTAAAAACAATAACCTCATTTGATGGAACGCTACAGACGACATTTTCAAGTGAGCTTTTAGCATTTTCGCTAGCAAACAAAAGCTGGTTGATTGATTGTTGCCGGTTCTCTAAACGCGTAACCAGAACATAGAAAGAGGAATGGGTAAATTACTTTGGACTTGTCTTGTTTGAAGCGTGCATACACCTTTAATCAATCTGAGTCATGACATCGTGTTTTCAGGAAGATGAATTATTGGTCTGAGGCATACATTGGATCGTTGATAGTGAGGTTGTTCTTTATTTGTCATTTGAATCGGTCTCTTAACATACAACAAATTCAAAACCTTGTTGTTTTCGTATCTGGAAATAATTTTACATATTTATAAAATGAGATGAATTTCCGAAATTAAGTTCATGAAGTTTGTTTTTACATATATGAAGGTTTTTTTAATTGTCTCGTAACTTTATTATTTTTGAACAATGTTTACATGATCTTTGAACAACAATAAAATCAACTTAAAGAACATCGAAGGTATAGTAGGTCTGCAATTTTTTCGTTGAAACATCAACAACTTCACTGCATTGGTGTTTGTCTACAAAAACAAAAAATGAACCCAACGGGGCCGATTGGTAACGACTTTTGGCTGTGAGGAATTTGACTATACATACTTTGACTGCAGAGACTTTGGTTGTAGAGACTTAAATTCTTAAAATTTGATTGGTAACAACAGGGCCGGCCCATGGCTAAAGCCCATGAAGCAAGGGCTTTAGGCATCAAATAATTATAACTAGTTTTAGGGGCATCAATTTTAAAAATGTTACTGTGGTTTAGTGGTTAGTTTGAAGTCTTTTGTTGTACAGGTCACAGTTTCGAATCCCAAACATGTTAAAATATGTATTTTTTTTTCTTATAACAGTTTTTGTTAATGGGCCAAATATATTTTGCTTTAGGCACTCAAATAGTTTGGGCCGGCACTGGGTAACAAAAAAAACTTTATAAACTATGAGTATAGAAATTGTGATTTTAAATAATATAATAGCGAATATGAATCCGAACTGTGACATAACGACGAAATTCACATAGATAACTTTACGAGAAGCTTTTATACATTCAGATTTCTCCATTTTGGCATCAAATTCAATATTTGAAATTCTTTTTTTTTATATAGAAGTGAATCTTAAAAGAACAGAAAAAAAAATCAATGGTGAGTTGATATTTAAAAAAAATTAATTTATCAAAGAATTTTATGGAAATTTTTCATATACTGGGAAAGAGAAAATAAAATAATACTAATTTGGGTAGCCTAGCAGCGGAAAATTAATATTTTTTCTTTGGCTGGCTTGGACAGAAATCTAATGAGGGGGATCATTTTGGACAGCTCCTCACTCAACTTTAGGTTTATGGATTTGGAAAAAACTTCTCAAGCTTCGTGAAGAGGTTAAGCCTTACATCCGTGTGGAGATTGGTAATGGAGAAAGTGCATCGTTCTGGTTTGATTCATGGCTGCAAGATGGTTGTATTATTGACATTACCAGACTAGAATGACCTCGACTTTTCGGTGTTCTGCTACATGCAATGGTAAAAGAAGCTACTGGTCTTGGGGGCTAGAATTTGTGACGAACTAGATCAGCCCATCTCTACCCACTGATGCAAACCATAAGAGCTGCTCCTATGCCTCATGTATTGCGTGGTAAGGATAAGTTTCTGTGGAGAACTGATATAGATGTCTTCGCGGACCAGTTCCTATCACACAAAAAATGGGATCAGGTTCGAGAACGTCATCCACTAGTTCCCTGGTGGAGTCTCATTTGGTTTGGTCAAGGTATTCGGTATTCCGCGTTATGGTTTTATTTCATGGGTTGCGATTTAGAAGCGGTTTTCAACATGGCATAGAATGCGGCTCTGGAAACAAAATCAGCCTTGTGTTCTATGTCGTGAAATAGACGAAACTCGAGATCTGGTTCTTCGCATGTCCGCACTCTTTCACAGTTTGGTCCTCGTTAGAGAGGAAGCTCCTTCTTCACCACTTGACTCCAGATTGGGCTGACACAGTGGATGAAATTCAATGTCGTACATGAGACAGACTACGAGACATACTGATTCGGCTTTGCTTTCAAGTGACTATCTATATGATATGGCACGAGCGGAACACACACATTCATAACAATGGATGTATGTCAATTGATCAACTGATTTGCAACAGTGAGAAGCTTATTCGAAGTAGGATCTCATCGCTTGATTACTCCATGAAGTCCCGCCTACGCCTTTTGCTCCAGCGATGGCTCATGGTTAGACCATAGCTGTCTTCGTAAAGACACGTTGCTGTAACTGTAAGCTTTTTGTTATATTTTACCTTCTTCAAATGCTTTGTTTTGTCATAAGTGGCCCACACTTATGTTCTCCTGTTCAAACATATTTACATATTTCCCTATTTTGATATATAAATTACACATTTAAACAAAAAAATAAAATTAAAACTATTGATTTTTTTTAAAAGTCAGGCTTAGGTGACTTTAAAAAAAAACTGAAACCAAAGAGTAAAAAAAAAAACTTTGAAGACTTTTAAATTTATTAAAGCCAAAAAAGATTGATCGGAAAAATAAAAAATTTAAAGAATTTTATAACTTTATAAAAGCTGTAAATTTTATTATTATTATTAAAAATTAATTGTAAAAAATTTGATATTTAAATATAAAAATTCTCTAACAAACCAAATCATATTCAAAAATAAGTTTCAAATTGTTTTTTTTTCTTTTATTTTTAGTTATTGAATTATTCTTGATCGATTATGATGGCTAATAATAATAGTCTTTTTTTTTTTTTAATGTTTCTTTTATGTTGAGTAGTTGTGTAATTTTAAGCAGTCAAAAATCCATTGAAATATTTTTCATTACAGACAAAAATAGCTAAATTAAAACAGATAAATATATTAATGAAATAATTGAATGGCATAATTAATGAGTGAATTAATCATCTCATGTAGGGCACAAAAACCCTAATTGTTCTTAAGCTAAACCCTAGCGTTGTCTATAAGCGATAAAATTCATCCTTCTTTTCGAGTCTTTGATCACAAATAATAAGAGAGTTAATTAAATTTGTTTTTCCCCTTTAAACAAATTCATTGTGTGATTTTCGGAATCAACAACGCCAATTGGTCATCCACACAGAGCTTAACGCACTTGTATGGATTACGAGTTGTCTAGCTCAATAGACTTCATACCAAGCCTTTGGGACAGATTGTTAAGAGTCATCAAAATGATCGGAAGATCTAGAGAATGGCCAAAACTTTCCACAGAGCTGAAGAAATTAACACAGATAAAAACCATTTTGTTTCTTTCTCTCTTACTAATTTGTCACGTGTATCAGATGTAAAACTGTCCGTTTGGCTTAGCTAACTAAGTGTGACACCTGATTCTTACTTCAACAGCAGGGCCGGCTCAACAATTTCATGGGCCCTAGGGCAAAAAAAATTTTGGATCCTTAGAATTTTTGTTTTTAATGTTTTTTTGCTGAAAAAAAATTTTGTATACTATTTTTATTAAAAAATTAATTATTAATACTAAAAAAAATAAATAAAAATTTTTATGGGCCCTTCTAAATTTTATTTTATGTTGTAATCTAATTTTTTAATATTTTTATAAAAAATATTTTTAATAATGGACCCCTTAATTATTAGAACACGGGATTGGGCCCCTGGCCGTCGCACCGCCCGCCCTCCCATCAGAGCCGGCACTGAACACGGCGTATCACGAATAACTAAATATGCAATAACGAATAAAGAATGAAGAAACTATACCTCCTAACCAGGCCCGGCTCTTGGGGTGTGCTCTGTGTACAAAAGCACAGGGTCCCTTTTTTTTCTTTTTCTTTCTTTGTATTTTAGGATCCAAAATATTCTAGTAATTACAAAATAGGGTCTAATTTTTTAAATGTTAAACATTTAAGCCATTAGGTAAAAAAAATTTGCAACATAGTACAAGGCCCAATAATTTTTTGAGCCGGCCCTGCTCCTAACACGAACACCAAACGAAAATTCCAGGAACTACTCCTCATGGTTACGTGCAAGAGAAAGAAAGGGGTGAGCAATCTAAGATTACTCAACGAGGGTAAAGCTTAGGGCTCACGAATTCTCCAAGACAAACATATTTACAGAATTACAAAGTCTAAATCAATGACAAGCAGACAATCGCGTGTCAAAAACACACATCAAACAAATGAAACTACGTCCTATAACCACTACTACAAAGGCGGACTTGATATCATGTGTGCAACAGACGCCATCCCATGCATACCAGATTCTTCATGCCTCTTGCATTTTTTTGTTGAATGTGTTGATATTTATAACTATATAAGAAAATACTTTTGTATAAAGTAAAAAAGTAAAAAATAGAATTAGTATCTTAGAGTTAGAAATTAATTTAAAATAATATTTTAATGCGGGTTGCATGATTTGTGAAATGCATGTTTTTGTGTGGTAAAATAAGTTGTTTGAGTGTGAGGAGACAATGTGCCAAACAAACGGAGATGTGGGTGAGCCGTGAAGAGACATGCAAGGATAGATCTTTGTAGTTACGTGATGGCGTATGGATGCAGAATGAGGATAGGTCAGAATGGCTGAAGAGCAGACGATGGATATAAAGTGCAGGGAGAAAGTGCTTAGGCACGAAGGATCCTGTTTTCACAAACAAATATATACTTACTAGATTAGGACCCGCCCGATGGGCGGGTTTTTAAAATTTTAAATAAATTTTAATTTAACAAAATAAAATATCAATTTTTTATTATGAATAAAATTATATTTAAACTAAGAAGCTAAATTTTTAATTAGACAGAAGAATTGTTTATATATATTCATCTTTTGCCTTAATACACTTATCTCCATATCTATATTTTAAATTTGTTGGTACATTTATTATAATAATAAAATAAATTTAAATTACCAATCACCAAAATTTTTGCCAAGATATTCATCATTATTCTATTGTCAAATTGTTGACAAAAAAAATTGTTATTGTCAAATCTCAAAAAACGCAGTTTTGCAGTTTCGCCTAAAATATGATTCCACAATTTTTTCAGAAAATATTTTATATATACACCACCAGTTAAACCGTCATCTTATTTACATCTAGTTACAATTTAATAGTTTACCACTCAAAAATATATGAAAATTCTATATAAAAAAAACACACTTAAGTTTTGATTTTTCAAAACTATCATTATTAGTTTAATATTCAAAAAGTTTCACTTAATTTCTTGTTTTCCCAAAAATACCACAAAACTAAAAATTAAACTTTCAACATTCAAAGCTAAACCATAAACCCTAAATACTAAACCCTACCCCTAAAACTATACCTTAAATCTAAATTAATCAATCCAAACCTAAAAATTTAAATTTTAAATCCTTGAAAATCAATTTTTAGTAGCTTTAAATTAGAATTAGTCAATGATTTTCTAATTTCTATTTTTATTTAATAAGATACATTTAGTTTCCTTATAATTATCTTTTTTACTTTTAAAAAAAAAATTATATAAGATATTTACATATAATTTCCTAAGACTTTTTTTTGTTTGGTGAGAACATAGGTGGCTATCTATTTGTTTATATAGAGGTGAGTACTTAGAATTTTTTTTTATAGGTATAATAATTGATTGTAAAATTTCCTTAAATCTTTTTTAATTTTTAAGGAAAAAGTAATCATTTTTTTTAGAATTAGTAGCTTTAAATTAGAATTAGTAAATGAGATTTTTTAATTTCTATTTTTATTTAATAAGATACATATAGTTTTCTTATAATTATCTTCTTTACTTTTAAAAAATTATTTTATATAAGATATATATGTATAGTTGCCTTATAATTTTTTTCTTAAAGTTCTATTTTTATTTAATCGAAGTTGGGCGTTTAGGGTTTTTTGGAGTGAAGAGAAACGACGTTCTTTTGTCACAATGAATTAAAAAAAAAACCCATGGGTACCCATAACCCGATAGGGTAAACCCGTATAAGATTCTATTTATTCGGGTACCCAGCCCATTTTAAACCCGCGTTTTTTCAAGATAAAAAGCAGATCTATGGGCTTATTATTTGACGTGGGTTTCGGGTACCCAGTGGGCTAAAGCCCAGAATTAACATCCCTAGGGTAACCTGTTCAGGTTCAGGTTCGGGTTAAATGGATAATGGATGTACTATCCAATGGGATAATTTTAACATTCGCTTCCGGTCCTATTCGGGTACACTCGGGTTCGGATCGGTCTGGGTAATAAATATGAGAACATATAAATACCCGAAAAATTCGGGGTGCCTTCAGTTCGGGTCTGATTGGGCAAAAATTACCCATAAACTAGAAATGTCATCAGAATACCCGAACTTTCAAGCAATTGTACATGCAAAAAACACACACAAAAAAAGAATAGAATTTCAAACTTAAAATCCAAATCTAAGCCAAAGTCACAAAAATTAATACTTAAAGTTAAGAGTAGAGAAAATGACAAATAGAAGTTCTTAAACTCCTTAAATAAGACTACCTAAATGGCAAACCGCAAACAAAAATCCGAATATAAAAAACATAGAACTAGAACGAGTTGATTGATGATAACTGATGACTTTGTTTTGCATCTTTGTTTCCTGAAAAGATAAAACAAACAAATGCCAACCTCATTTATGTGTATAAAACTATAAACCTATATCTATATGTGTATATACATATATACATATATATATATATATACATATATGGTTTTTATCGGGTTTATAGGTACCCAGTTTAGGTAATGGATAATCTTCGAACCGATTCAGTCTCCACGGGTTTACAAAAACTGGACCCAATGAAGTAAATTTTTTTTACCCTTATCCGTCTCAAATTTGTTCTTTCGGTTCTGATATCGGTTCGAGTATCGGATCCATTTTTTTGCCCAGACCTAGTTATAGAGGTATTGGGCCTTAATAGTCCGAATTTGGGATGTTACACTATGTCTCGTATTGGAAGTACATAGTGTATGGACTGTTTTATTCAGATGTGTTTCGCCATATCATCTAGATTCAAATAATTAAATAGCTATTTGATGTAAATAGATTAAAAACAAGTCTCTTAATAATCTAAAATACATTACGACATCAAATATAACTAATGTGGTCATACCTTACGCCATCAGAAATATAACTGATGTAGTCATACCATACGCCATCAGAAATATAACTGATGTGGTCATACCATACGCCATCAGAAATATACCTGATGATGTAATACCATACGCCATCAGTTGTTTGTGTCAACCCAACATAGAATCTCTCAACTAGCGATCGTTAGAGCATGATTATAGGTAGTCTCTTAGAAATACTTCTTAGCAATATTTAAGTAATTTATTTGTAAAAGTTATTGTTAAGAGATAGTATTTTTGAGTTAAGATTTTTGTGTGATTAATGGTAGACTCTTAACATATGGTTCTTAGAAGAAAAAAATATTAATATAAAAATAAAATTTATAATTATTGAAAATTTAATAATTATTGTAAATTAAAAAAATTAAAACATACATGAGATACAATTTATAACATAAATAACATAAAGCACAAATGTTTTAAACTTAATTTCTGGAATATTTTGTCTATATATGCTCGACCAAATCATTCTTCAATTGTTGATGCATTCTTCATTCGGTTAGTTTGCTAAAGATATTTTCAGATATTTCGGTTATTTTTGAGTATTTTTGGATATTTTTCGGTTATGTTCGAGTATTTTTACTATTTTTATATATTTTTAAGTATTTTTGATTATTTAGTCTATAAATAACTAATTATTTTGAAATGTATTTCGGGTATTTTCGGTTATTCGAAAATATATCGGTTCGGTTTATTTATCCATGCCTAATTTAACTCATCAACCATTCATACACGGACATGTGGCCGTCTCTTAGCTTCAGTTTTGGCTCTTAGCTAAGAGACGTCTCTTAACTTTAAGCTTGATTTTTGAATTAAATTAAATCAATTAATGCCTAAGATCTACTTAAAAATTTGCTAAGAGCTTACCTTTAAAGATGCTCTTATTATTATAACTTATTTTTCCGTTATTTCCTTTCAAGAACCAAAAAATGTGTTTTACATATTTAAAGGACTTTATTATTTTTTGTCTCGGTCTTAATGACAGGTGACTAGGACCTCCGAGTACAAGTTACAAGTTACAAGTGGCGCTTTTGACTTTTTTTTATACTTCATATCCAATATTTTTATTTAGATTTTTGTATTTGTAATGCTATTTTTTTTTTCTTGACTCTTAAATCATGTACTAAAACTGTTATACCCTGCACACGTGGTTTTGCATATTATCGTGTATAGTGTATACAATGTGATCGTGTACAAACTTTTATGTTTTTTTTTTTTTTTTTTTTTTTTACAAACTTTTATGTTTGAAAGATAATATTAATAGCTAATTAGATACATAAATTAAGAAAATAATAGAGTGAAAGTTTTTTTTTTAAAAATAGCCATGGTCTCCGTTGTCAGAAAAAGTGAAATAACCAAACTATCTATCGTTTGTTGCGAATTCAACCGTAGACAAGATAGTTTTGTGAGATTTTGCAAAATAGCATGTAACATATTTAAATTTTGCATGTTACATTGAATTAAAAGACATGATATTCGAAAAAAAAGATAGTGACTTTTTAAAGAAAAAACATTGTTACGTATTATTTTTTTAAGAAAAAACATTGTTACATAGTATTTTTTTTTTAATGCTATGGAAAAATTTAATCTGAATATAATCTTTTTAAAAGAAATCACATGTGCTCTTAATAAAAACCGTGTATGACTACAAAATAAGAATCTTTTTTAAAAGAAATCACATGTGATTTTAATATAAAAAAATATGTATTACAACAAAATAACATGATAAAGAGAGATATTAAACTAAATAAAATGTTTTTTACAATAGATATCATGTGCTCTTTATAAATAACGTGCAATACGAAAAAATAACATGATAAAAAGAGATATATTATGCTAATACATGTAATTCGAGGAAAAAAGCATGTTACAAAGAAGTATTACACTTATGTAACTACATGTGCTCTCCGACAAATCTCTGAAAAATATTACTGTAGCATATAGTTAATTTATATATTTTTTGAATCTATGGTTATTTTGTATATATTCCTATGTTTTATGTTGAAAAAATAAAAGTGTATATCGCTAAAGATTTATAAGTCACATTAGGAAAACAAATATATAAAATACAATTATTTCTGGCCTACAAAAATGTACGGACAATTACCTATTTTGATAATACCGCCAAAAACCGTCAATCAGTAAATCTTTAAACATAGCATCACACTCAAATATGAATCATCTCAAAGAAGTTTTTTTTATTCAGTTTACTATAATTATAAACCTCTATTAATTAATAATCTTTGATTATAAATGCATCGTTTGCTTTTTTATTTGATTATATTTTATTTATTAACACTGGTAACTATGGACTTCCTGACTAGTACATGACGATGTCTTTCACTTTGGGTACCCATGGAGTACCATAGAACCGTGAACCTTTGGTAATAGATAATAACCTAATATTTATTTGCTTAAGTTTGGGTCAGTATTTTGAATACATCAAATCATTTAAAAAATAGATGAAAAGTACAGGGGAGTATATATATAGCTTAAATCAAGTATGCCAAGACTCCGTAGTTTATATATAGCTTAAATCATATATGCTAAGATATCCCGTAGTTTACAAAATCTAATCTAATTATTCTTACGAGTGCAACCAATTCCAAAAGCCACAACCACAGTTTCATTACGATATAAATAAATTAGCCTTGCAACATGAGAAAGAGTGTTATAACTAAGACTCATCCGATGGTGTTCATAAATTTCCGAGGAGTGGAAATACGCCATGCCTTTATTAGCCACCTTGTTGCCGCCTTTGAACAACACAGAATAAATTTCTTCATAGACAAAGATGAACAAAAGGGAAGAGACCTTAAACACCTCTTCAAAAGGATCAAAGAATCGCATATTGCGCTAGCAATCTTTTCGAGGAGATATGCGCAGTCCAAATGGTGCTTAAACGAGCTGGTGAAGATAAAGAAACTCGCAGACAATAAAAAACTCAAAGTGGTTCCGATTTTCTATAAGGTGAAGGTAGGTGATGTGAGACACCAGAAGGGAGAATTTGGTCGCAACTTTTGGAAGTTGGCAAAGGCTTCAACTGGCGAGGAGATCAAGAAATGGAAGGAAGCATTGGAATTCGTTTCATCAAAGATGGGTTTACCTTTAGGAAACAAGAGGTACTCTTCATGATCTTCCATTCTTTTTATGAAAGTTTTAAGTGAACAGAACCGCATTTGTGTATGTCTGTGTATGTGGGAAGTAATATTTTGTGCACACACATGGCATAGCCTTGAAAAATAAACAGTCGCCTCTCTTGTGTGCCGTCCTTACAATTTTCCATTGCTGCCTTGGTAATTTGCATTGCTATTTCGTGGAAATCATGTTTACAAAACGATGCACAATTTTTCTTCAATGATTTTTAATAATTATAATTAATTTGACGTGTGTTATGAATTATTCACTTGTTTTATTGAAAAATTGGATAAAACCCCTCACTTTTTCTAAAACAAATTTAAAACTCTGAATATTTTTTGGATTTTAAATACCCACCTTATAGTAACAGGTAAAATAATTCCTAATATCAATAAACCCAACATAAATTCAAATCGGTATATTAATAAATAGATATTAAACATTTTGGTTTAGGAGTTTTTCTTTCCTAAACTCTAGTTTACAATTTTTTTTTTCCAAATTTTGTTTCTGTTAGGATATAATTTTTTTTTTATGAAATCGTAATTCAACATCTACATAAATTTCCACACCCAGAATATTTTCATCCGACATAATAAACATGTATTCAAAATTAATATATCACTTAAAATACTTAACTTTAGAAAAAACTGTCCCTTTTGTTGTACACATTTTTAATAATGCTCCATTCAGCTGTAAATATTCAAAAATGTTCTTTCTTAAATCTTTTAAGGTTTATAGTGGTAACTAGTACACACAGGTCCGATCCAAATATTTATAAGATTTTATAAGATATATATATATATATATATATATATATATAAGCAGTGGCAGAGCTAGAAAAAAAATTTGTCGTGGTCAAAATATATTAAATTTTATATAAATAACAAGAAGGGAATTTTAAACAATTGACAATGGGGTCAAATCCATAAGAAATAACCAAATGCTCCACGTATATTTATATTTATATGGCTAATTTCCAAAAAATTTAAAAATCTATTGGGGTCAGCTGACCCCACTACTCTCTTACTACCTCCGCCCCTGTATATAAGGTATTTACAAGATATTTATAAGATCTTACGCACATATAAGAGTAGTTTTTGTATGATTTTATAAGGTTACACACGTATTTGGGTGAATTTCAGATTTATAAAGACATTTTGAAAATGTTTTAGGGAAAGGGCAATTAGAAAGAGGCATTTTTCTCAAAAATTCATGTTTTTTTAACAAAAATCGTAAACTCGAATTTAGAAAAAAAAAATCATAAACTAAATTATTTTAATTTATTTCTATTTTAATAAAATACTTTATTTGATTTCCTTAATTTGAGATTTTAATATTGAGGTTTACTTTAGGGTTTTCTGCAAAAAACCTTTTGAGTCGTCAACTTTTGCAACTTTATCCTCCATCTCTTAAAAATGCAGATTTATTTTATAATAATACGCAATATAACTTAAATTTTAACATATTGTTTATTAAAATTTTACAAACTTAACAGTAGCGAAAAAGGTTAGATTGCATATTATTTTTAACTTTGTAGTATTAATTTACATTTTCAAGAGATTGATGGTAAAGTTGCACAAATTCGCAAGTTGGAGGGATTTTTTTTTATATATAATAATACTTTATAGTCTTCACTTAAAAGTATGAGAGAGGAATAGAGATGTCATAGGTTTTTCTTAGAAGACCATGTGGCAATCGAAAATCTCCACATTTGTCGACTCAGCCTTCGTACTATGGAGCATCTTTGACTAATTTCGCCATGTCTTGGGTTAATCAGATGATTGACTCCAGATCATGACCAATTTGTACATGGATGAACTAACATGTTCTTCAAAATTTGATCCTCGGTTAGTGAAAGACTCTGTGCGATCTAGTTAGTCTGCTTAACGCCGAAAGGACTCTCCAACATGATTTTTGCACACCCCTCACTGAAGCACGACAACCTTTCCCAGTCGTAATTTCTCCACGGAAGCAACACGACTGTCAAGAACCGTCCCAATGAAACGGTATGTGACATTCTCCCCCACCCATCAATATGCTCGTCTTTGTACATGGGAAGAATCGTCAAGATCGTACGTTGTGTCATTGTGGGATAATTCTACTTCTATTCTATTCAATGACTCGGCACCTTGTCTTAGTCTTCAGGACACCTCTCCCTCGACTTTCTATTTCCAACAAATAAGGCTCCCCCATGTACCCATCTCGTTATGGGAGCTGGACGGAGACAATACACAACGCTCTTGACTCTAATACCACTTGTCAAAAGATGTTCTTCGAAAATCGTGCGCGCGACAATCGACATCTCCACAGTTGTCGACTCAACCTTCGTACCATGGACCAGCTTCGACCGGGTTTTCTCTGCCCTAGGTTCATTAGGTAATCGGCTCTGGATAAAAACTATGTTTTGCATGGATGGCCTAATCCGTTTTCCTAAGTCTGATACCCGGTCACCGCCAAACTCCGCGGGATCAAATTGTTCACTGAAAGGACTCTTCAACCTGAATCATTCACGTCCCTCACTAAAGCACGATAACCTTTTCCAGTCGTAATGGTCGCGGAAATAACGCGAGTGTCACAAACTGTCCGTGACATTCTACCCCTCCCCCTCCCCCTTTCATCAATGTGCACGTTCTCGTGCATAAAAAAAGTTTTCAAAATCGTTTGTTATTTCATTGTGGGATAAATCTTATTCCCACTCGATTTGCTGGCTTGACACCATGCTTTACACTATATTTAAAAAGCTGGGACTAGTCATGTCTCATTATTTGTTTAATCAAGGAGAGTTTAGAGTTTCTCGATTTGAGAAAACTGTGATTAGATTGCATGTTATCAGACTGATTTGCTATTAATATTTAAGCTTTAGATATATTTAACTAGAAAGCTGCCCACGCGATGCGTGGGTTACATATTAAATATTAATTCTGAATAAAAATAAAATTTGTATTAAAGTAATATGTTCGATTATTAATATAGTTTTTTGAAAAGAATTTTTTAAAATATTAACTTTTATGTTCCTTTTCGAAGTACTTTTGTGAATTGCTAAAAAATAAATTTTGTTCTTTTTTTTATTCATGGTGGTATGACATAAATATACGCCACTACTTTTTCTTAATTTACATAAAATATTTTATTCTGGAAATTTATATATCATACCTCATCATATAGTCTCTTGTTTGCTGATTCACGATCCTTGGATCGGAAAAACGGACAAAATCAACTCCAACTTTTTTTTGTGCAGCTTTTTTCAACCCAAACTCTGACCCCAGCACTTATCAACCCGAACTCAGACCATTTTTAAAAAACAAACCTAAACTATCTAACTGTTATCCAATTTCAACATAGTTTTTTTTTGTATTTGTTAATGTCGATTAGAATTGTAAAGTCGTAATTATCTGTTCTTTTGTATCTGAATCATTCCTTTTATTCAATTGGCTAAAGATTAAATAATTCAGGTTTGTTACATTATTTAATAACAGGTATATGTTAAAATTGGCTAACGATTACTTAGTTCAGGTTTGTTATTTAAAATTTATGTGAGTTCGAGTTGATAATTGGGGTTGATATCGGCCGTTTTCCCTCCTTGGATCTCATCAGAAGGTAGATCTTCCCAATCTCATGACTTTCCCTCGACAATAAGCTTTACATATTATATCCATATAATCCATAATAAAATTAGGAGATCAAAGGTAAAACATATTCATATTTATTAATTTTTTTGCTTAATTTTATCTATATATGTTAAAAAATTAAAGAGAAATTTAAATAATTTGTGATAATGATTAAATTTAATAAATAGCAAGGTGGTCCAAATGAGCAAAAACATATTTTATATATGTTAATCTGGGTTAAATGTGAGGTTAATTATCGGGTTACATGTGTACCATGACTTTGAATGTGAGTTAATTAGGAAAATTATTATAACTTGGTTACTTATACGTTTTAAACGTTTACCATTCAATTTGTGAATTATAGTCAATATAATCAAATATTTAATGTATTTTAGTGGGAGAATGAAAATTTTTTTTATAATTATTGGGTAATGGGTTGGAGTTATATTTTTGTTAAATGTGGAGTCATATAGTGGGATAATGAAGTTTTTTATAGTTATTGGGTAGGAGTTACACTGGGATTAAATGTAGGATTATACATGATTTTGAATGCGAGTTCATTAGAAATAAATATTAATTTGTGTTGGAACAAATAATTTGTGTCAATAACATTTTCTACACTTATATTTATTCAAATCATACAATATCAATATACATAACTTATTTAATATAATCATACATATAAGTCTCATGAATTTATTCGTTTATTGTTCAACTATGCTAATAATTTTATTTAGTATGTTTAAGCATTCAAGGTAAAATAAACATTATTAATGATAAAAATGAAAATTTACAATGTTTCAAATATTTAGTCTAAGTTGTTGATATAAACTAACATATAACTTGAAGTATTTTCCAGATTATTTTTGTAAATAAAAAATTAAATACATTTCCTTTAAAATCATATGAAGTTCAATGAAAAGCTTTAAAAAAATCCCAAAGACTACTTTCATTGTTCAATCTCTTTTTGTATTCTACTTAATTTAAGTTATATTGTTAAGTTTAATTATAATGATTTCATCTTTGTAGTACAAGCTAGATTGGAAATGGAATATCAAATTTGTTCTTATATATAGAAAAATCATTACACTACAAGATTTGAATTAAATAAAATTTTAATGATCTTTCTATAATTATATGTTGAATAAAAAAAAAAATATAATGATGAGTATACTCAAAACGTATTACAATTTTTTTGGAGGTAAGAGAGAGTGAAGGAAACCTAATTTGATAAATGTATTACAAAAACATATTTCGTTAAAACATTGCATACTATCAAAAATAAAATAAATATACATGACTATGTAAGAAACAAACATCCAAAGTTAAAAAAAATGGAGATAGTTTTTTATCTTGATTCCCTTATTGTGTCATGGTCGGAATTAATATTTTTGAATATGTATCAATAAGGTAATTTTATCATAGCCATCAAAATTATATTATACATATTTAATTTAAATTAAAAAATATTATAAAAAAACAAAGAAAGAAGGAAGAAGTACATAATAACAAAAA